AAAAAAAAAAAAAGAAGATAGTAGGAAGGTAGAAATGAAGGGGAAATCGGTGGGGGAGACGTACCATGAGAGACTATGGACTCTGAGAAACAAACTGAGGGTTCTAGAGGGGAGGGGCGTGGGACGATGGGTTAGCCTGGTGATGGGTATTAAAGAGGGCACATACTGAATGGAGCACAGGGTGTTAAACGCAAACAATGAATCATGGAACACTACATCAAAAACTAATGATGTAATGTATGGTGATTAACATAATAAAATTTAAAAATTTAAAAATTAAAAAAAAAAAGAAAGAAAGAAAGACACCAAACTATGGTTTTCAGACTGGGGAATCTGACAGGCATCTTCCCAAAAACAAACCAAGGAAGTCTGTCATTTCAAGTGAAATAAATGTGTATTTGTTTCTAATGACAGAATCTGAGCTTTCAAGTAAAACAAGAATTTTGGAAAACTTGTATCTATCACTGTAAGGATGACAGATTCCAAATACTTAAAGACTTTTCTAAAGAGATCAGGGTTGATATTAACAAATGTGATTTTTTTATATTGTATAATGAAAAGTGTCAACACTTGAAAGAACTGCATAAATCAGTGAATATTTTCCAAATGATCACTGTATGACATGACAAAATTATTCATTAGAATTGAAGGTGAACTAACAGATTTTAATGTAACAAAAGACAAAAAGTTCATTGGTATAGTTTCAGATTACCCACTGGCAACTAATCTTTAAGAAACTACCACTTGTCACTTTGGTACAGTATCTAAGACTATCCACAATGATATAAAAAGGTTATTAAAATAGTCCTAGCTTTTCCAACCTGCCATCTATATGAGGTTGGATTTTCTTCATATATTTCAACCCAAATAACATATCACAACAGACTGAACGCAGAAGCAGATATTAGAATCCAGCAGTCTTTTATTAAACCAATAATAATGAGATTTATAAAAATGGAACATATATCACTGTAACGATGACAGATTCCTTAAATCTTATAAGGATCCTTATAAGGATGACAATTTCATTATACAATATTAACAAAAATCAAACTTGTTAATATCAACCCTGATCTCTTTAGAAAAAGTCTTTAAATACTGGAAATCTGTCACTAAATATTTTTTATTTTGAGAAAGTTATTTTCATAAAAATATGTTTTGTTTTGTTTTCATAAAAGTATGTTTTGATGTTATGTGTAATGGGTTTTGTTATACTTTTAAATCAACATCTTTTAAATTTCTCAGGTTTTGCATGGAATATGATAAATATCAATTAATATAACCACATAAACTAAGTTCCCTAGGCATCCTCAATAACTCTTTAGAGTTTAGAGTTTAATAGTGTTCTTGATGAATGGATAAAGTGGATGTGGTATATATATACAATGGATTATTACTCAGCAATCAAAAAATGAAATCTTGCCATTTGCAACGATGTGGATAGAACTAGAGGGTATTATGCTAAGCAAAATAAGTCAATCAGAAAAAGACAACTATCCTATGGTTTCACTCATATGTGGAATTTAAGAAACAAAACAGAAGAGCACAGAGGAAGGGAGGGAAAATAAAACAAGATGACATCAGAGAGGGAGACAAACCATAAAAGACTCTTAACCATAGGAAACAAACTGAGGGTTGCTGGAGGGGAGGGGATGGGGGGATGGAATAACGGGGTGAGGGGCATTAAGGAGGGCACTTGATGTAATGAGCACTGCATGTTATATATAACTGATGAATCACTGAACTCCACCTCTGAAACTAATAATACATTATATGCTAATTAACGGAATTTAAATTAAAAAAATAATTCTAAAAAAAGCGTTCTCAGATGATAAAATAAGTGTTCTGAGATGAAAAATTTCGAAAATCACCACTGGATTCTATTGTGTCTTCCAAAAAAAGTAAATCTTGACTGATGAATCTCAGGGGTTATACTTGTCATAAACAAAATAATCTCATTCTAATTTCAACTTTACTATACATGTATACATTAATATGAAAGCTTTTAACTAATTTGTACAAGCAGTTATTTTCATTTGTAAGTAAATTTCAGACCTTAAAGTTATAATGACCTTTTAGAAGTTGGAATTTTATTTTTTCAAAGAGAGTTTTTTTTTTTTTAATTTATTTTAGGATTACATCAGTAAGTCACAACCCACAAGTTGTACTTTTTAGTAAAAGCCATTCTTTTTTTAAACGTTTTTTATTTAATGGATAAAATACTGATATAACTTTAAAATTTTTATTTTTTATTTTTTTAATTTAGCAGAAATTTATTTATCTATTTCTCTTTTTTTTTGATGTTACAAATGGAACAGTTTATTTCTGAAGAAATTTTAGCCCAACATGTATCTGAAATATACATTTTCTATAAAAACCGTTGGGAATATTATTGCAATATAAGTAATTCTTTTTTTTATTAGTGATTCATTACAACACTTAATATGCCCTTTACAGGACTCAATTTGAGAAATCTCAGCATTTAAAACTGAGAAAGGAAATAAAAGAAAACAGTAAAATCCCACAAAACTATCTCTCCAATATGCTTCTTCTGTAATAATAATTATATAACAAGTTTCCTCTTTTACTATAGCTGCTGTGCTGCTCAAAGACAAAAATCATGCTGACTTCTATACCTTGATCTTCCTCCACAACTCATGCACTGTGTTTTCCCAGTCCTTCCTTTTTTGTCTTATTATACTTCCTTGATTTTAAGTTACCTCAAGTTCTTTCCAGGGGTATAAGTAAACTTTTTAAAAAAAATTACATACAGAGAGAAAAAAACATGCATTGCTTTTAAAATGTAGAAATTTCCTAAATGTACTTTAATGCACAATATATATTTTGGCAGCCTGAGATCATTGGCAAAAATATATTATTAAAGGGCGCCTGGGTGGCTCAGTCATTAAGCGTCTGCCTTCAGCTCAGGTCATGATCCCAGGGTCCTGGGATCGTGTCCTGCATCAGGCTCCCTGCTCAGCAGGAAGCTTGATTCTCCCTCCCCCACCCCCCATTTGTGTTCCCTCTCTCGCTGTGTCTCTCTCTGTCAAATAAATAAATAAAATCTTTAAAATATATATATATTATTAAAATGATCTAGTTATACACTACATTAAAAAATTACTGAAAACACTTACCCGTCTATGCCTTTCTCTGTCTTTACATTTCTCTCGCACCCAATCAATAGTATGGAAATCATCATATGTACCAACACCTGGAATTGGTTCATCCAAAAGATCCAGTAAGTGTGTAGAACTGTTAATGCTGCCTCCATTAGTCATTGTATAATGAGTTCCTACAAAGCAAAAAAGAACACTATGTTTTATGACAGACAATGGTGAACTATGTAACCTTCTTAATAGTTCACTAGTAATTCAAAAAGAAATAGTATTACTTGAAATATAATAAAATAAAGGAGGGAAAACATCAAGAAAAGTTATCCAAAACTTGGTAATAAGGCAAAAGACCATGGCATGTCCTTTCAAATGTATACTACAGTGTCAAAAATAAGCCTGCGTAGTACTCATCTTTTGCTCTGAGGAAGAGGACTTTGATTTATTATTTTCTATTGATTAGGACATAGACTCTAAAAAGTTAGATAACGACTTACAGAAGATTGATAAATTGAAAATTATTGTTTTCATCTGGTAAAAATGTAATTCAATTTCATCTAGCAGAAAAGATAATACTTAGAATTGTAGTGTTGTGGGTTTTTGTTTTTTGCCCTGTAAGAAAATTTTTCACTGATATTTCATCTCACACACCCTCCTCTAAGTCATCTTTGTCATCAAGCTAGTCACTAGTACTAAATAAATCTTTTGACAGGTGTTCACTATATACTTAGACTTTAAAAGTACCAGGAAGGACACTGAAAGACAATTCACAAAAAAGACTTAAATTTATAAAGTTCAATCCAACACAAATGGCTCTTAAATTTAAAAAGTTCAATCCAACACAAAAAAGAGAAATACGAATCAAACCTACAATATCATTTTTCTCTATCAGACTGGTAAAGATTAAACAGTTGACTAATGCACTGAGTTGGCAATGTTATGGGGAAGGAGGGCTTGCCACAAAATTATTAGTTTAAATATAAACTGGTATAACCCTTCTAGGAAGTCAGAGCTACCAAAATTTAAATACACAGATACTCTCTAACCCAGCGAAGTCCACTTTCAAAAACTTTTTTTGCAGTCACACTTGCATAAATCCATAAGTTACACATAGTGTGGTAAAACATCTTACTGTGCACTTTATAAGGAAAAAAAAATTAATGCTGAAGTGTTCGTAATCCAAAAGAAAGGTGAGCAAAAGAGCCAGAAGTAAATACGTTAGGCATTGGAGGCCATAGTCACAACAACACAACTCTGCCATAGTGGCACAAAAGAAATCATAGATAATATATGAATGGGTATGGCTGTGTTTCAATAATACTTTATTTACAAAACAGTGAAGAGCAGCATTTGGCCCAACCACTGATCTAAAGTCTCTACAGCACAAACCAAATTCAACGGAAGATGTTTACTAGGAATTTTCTACTTACTGTCACTCTTCTAGATAGTATAGGAGAATACAAAGGCAACAAAAACATTGTCCCTGACTCAATGTAACACTGAATATTGTACTAATAAACTTAATGTCTATTTACTTCTCCCAGGTAGAACACGGTTCTCCCTTCCCTTTCTATTTGATACATTTGAATATTTGCCTTGGAAAGTATAAACCTTCTAAAAGAATAGTATATTGATCTCAGTGTTTTGGCAGAGGTACTCCAGTAATGAATAATTTATCATTCTTGGCTGAAGGTTTAAAAGCCCAATCCCTGCAACAGTCCATGTTGCTTTACATAAAACAACCTTATACTTTTTACACTAGCTCTCTCTTCCTCTACCCTGATTTTACTCAGCAATTTCCACCTGGTAAAAGCTGGCTGAAAGGCCATAAATTTTCTTAAGGAAAAAATTACTGGAGAACAAACATAATGTGTATTTATAATGTCTTGACAAACTTGAGAATCTCTGACTCTGCTTTCCATGTGATAATATTAAAATTGGCAATTTTGAAAATGTTTTTGGAGGGACATATCAAAAGCCTCTATGGCCTTCTGATATGATGACATCACTTCTGGACAAAAATGCATAAAGTCAATCTTAAAAGGAGAAACAAACACAAACTGAAGGAAATTCTACAAAATAAATGGCTTACATTCTTCAAAAAATGTCAAAGTCATGAAAGACAAAGAATGACTGAGAAACTGTTCTAGATTAAAGAAGACTCAAAAGACATGACAACTAAATGTAACACGTGCTCCTGGATTATGAGAATGTGGACCAGGAAAAAAACTGGGTTTTTTGTTTTTTTTTTTTTTATATTAAAGGACAGAGTAAAATAACTAGAAAATTTGTAAACAGTCTGTAGATCAGACAATGGTACATATCAGTATCAATTTTCTGATTTTGAAAACTGTACTATGGCTATATATAAGGGAATGTTCACTCATAAGGAAATACAAACTGAAGTATTTATGTATACACACACATTTATGTATTATATATACACACACACAAAATAGTACATGTTATATAGAGAATAGCATATAGAACAGTGAAAGATTAAGAGACAGACTAAACAAATGTGGTAAAATGTTTTTTTGTTTTTTTTTTAAAGATTTTATTTATTTATTTGACAGAGAGAGATACAGTGAGAGAGGGAACACAAGCAGAGGGAGTGGGAGAGGGAGAAGCCGGCTTCCCTCTGAGAAGGGAGCCCGATGCGGGGCTCGATCCCAGGACCCTGGGACCATGACCTGAGCCGAAGGCAGACGCTTAACCGTCTGAGCCACCCAGGTGCCCCCAAATGTGGTAAAATGTTAACATTTCAGAAATCCGGGTGAGAAGTACAGAGAATTCTTTTCACTATTTTTCAACACCTCTAAGACTGAAATTAAAAGAAAATGTTTTTTAAAAGTCTGCCATGATATATTTTGAAAACTTCCAACTCCTCCCACCCCATGTTGCCTTTATTTGGGTAGAGTTAAAGAAACATGGACTGCTGATTTTAATTATTACTCTTCTATTCAAAAAATAAAAAGCAAAATTTCTATACGATTTAACACACAATACGTCACCAGCCCCATGATAAGAATCGTCAAGCTGTTTGCACCACAAAGATGATAAGCAAATGAAGCATTTTTTACTCCAACAGACGTAAAGCAGGAAGTACAAAAGTAGACACTCATTTTAGCAAAAGGTACAGCAACACAATAAACGATATTTACACTAACTACGGGTCTTGTCTTTAATGATTTTCAAAAAGTTACTCTGCAGAAACTACTCTGACATCTAACTAACAAAACTATGCAGCAATTCAAAATATCTGAAAACCAGAAATTAAGGATTCAAACTTTTTAAACCAGAGGACCTGTGAACCAACGTTTTGTGTTTTGGGGCTTTTAGGTTGTGTCCCTTACAACTTCTGGGGCCGATACAGGACATGTTAGCATGGGATTTAGCCAGAGCAGTTTGTGTCCCCAACAGACTGTTTGTAGGTCAGTCTGTCCCTTCAACCCTATTTGCTTCTACGTACAGAGCAATGGTGTTTCAAAAAAGCATATTATAGGGAGAAATACTGATTGATGTTTTTGGTTTTGGGGGAACCCACAGAAACACAGAGTCAATTATTTCTAAAAGAAATCTGGGTCATTCTTGTGACTCCTACTAACAAATTGGCTTGGATAGTAACCAAGGAAGATTTTGGTATGAAAGTAAAATAAAAATTCTTTGCTGAGACAGAAATGATCAGAATATTTCTCTGGCTCCGATATATATATAACTAAGTGGAATCCCCAGGAAGAGAAGGGCAGACATTTCAATCTGGCTTTAATTTCTCTTTTATCCTGTTCCTTACTCATTGTAGGGGCTATTACCGAAAACTGAAAGACATTATACTGAATGTGAAATCAATTAACATATTTTTTTAATTTAAAGTTTGTACTTGTGGAGTGTCACACTTGGTGGTCTGTCCTCTGCTCTGCCTCCCCTCGTTTTTTTAATAGTACAGAAGTGGGAACTGTCCATTTCCAAGACACCTTTGACCCACGGATCTATTTTCTATTTCTCATAGCCTCTGAAGACAACAGTCACCACACTCAAGGCAGGGATTTGGGGCTCAACATTTCAGAGGCCCCCAGGCAAACTGCAAACTGTGATAAAAAGGTGCGGAGTCTCTCATTTGTACAGATTGCATTCATCAAATATTTACCAAGAATTCCAGATAAAGTGTTCCAGCCTTCACCTACAGATCATTGAAAATATGGTGGGGAATCCACAGTACCCTCATAAGCTGCATATTGTTACCAGAATAAAAAGTACAAAAAGATGTCCAAATTGCTGGGGCGCCTGGGTGGCTCAGTTGGGTAAGCATCTGACTTGGGCCCCGGTCATGATCTCAGGGTGCTGGGATCTAGTCTGGTATTGGGCTCCTTCTTCAGCCGGGAGCCTCCTGGTCTCTCTCTTTCTGCCTCTCCCACTGCTTGTGCTCTCTCTCTCTCAAATGAATGAATAAAATCTTAAAAAAAAAAATGTCCATATTGGGAAAAAGATATAATAAAGATGGTTGGGTTAGAAAAAGCACATACTCAAGTTCACACGAATATCCCTTCAGTGAACACAAAACTGAAAGTGGTTAAACATTTGATAAGAATCAAGCCCCTGAAGTTGCCACAAGGACGTTCAGCAGAGGAGGACACGTCTAATACATGCCTCAAGAGTACTGGGGAGGGACGCCTGGGTGGCTCAGTCGGTTAAGCGGTTAAGCGTCTGCCTTTGGCTAAGGTCATGATCCCAGGGTCTTATGATCAAGTGCCGCGTGGGCTCCTTGCTCAGCGGGGAGTCTGCTTCTCCCTCTGCCTACCACTCCCCCTGCTTGTGCGCGCTGACAAATAAATAAAATCTTAAAAAAAAAAAAAAAGAGTACTGGGCAATTAGTGGTGCGGTGGCATCTAAACCCTATAGATCAGGAAGCAGTTAAGACCTAATGCCAGAGCAATTTCATATTAAAAAACGTAAATCATTTAAAGGTAGTGAGAATGAGTTCTCATTAAAATATATTTTAAATACTAAAAAAACAAAGTTTGTAATTGCAAAAGAGCAGTTTAAAGAGTTAAGAAGAGTTAATACCTATCCTTCTTAAACTATTCCAAACAATAGAAAAGGAAGAAAAGCTTTAGGTGCTTCCATTCTATGAGGTCTACATTATCCTGACATCAAAGCCAGACCAAAATACTATGAAACAAGA